TACAACAGTTCTCCCTTCTCGGTTGATGATCCAGAGACGAACGCATATGTTTCCCGATTAATCTGCTTGCTCATCGAGGACATGGGTGGGTGGACGGCGGTGCGTGGAGCTTCGTCCCCTCCCTCGTACTTGCATGGAGGAATCCAATGCTCGGGGCAACCGTGAGGCATCGATCTAACTCCGCTGATCCACATGGCAAATCGGATTCAAAAGTGCCCATCAAAGCAAAATCTTTTGCTCTATATGCACATGCAATCTTCATATCTCGATGCAACATTCAATTCCAAGAAGATAACTTCGAGGATGAGTACGTCGCGTAACATTTGCTGGTGAGGCAACGCATACGATTTGATGGGTGCGGCTGCATGATCAACCTAATACGGGTATTATTCGCCGTTGTATTAAGACCGGGCATGTGGAGGTCAACCTATCAGAAAACAACAAGCCGAATGAATACATTACATCATCATAAAATCGTAATAAAAGATATCTAGAAAATATTTTTTTTCTAGTTATAAAGGATTAAGGATCATTTATGTGACTGATGAGAGGATGTTAGGAGCAGAACATTTGGCACTGTTGCTTCATGATCCTCATTATGGGAGCTCCATCGGTAGGAGAACAGTGATTAGCTACACACTAAGGAAATCACATGCCATGCACATAAACAGAGAATGCTGCTATGCTAGTGCCAGATTAAAGTAATAATAAAAGAAAGAAGAAAAAGATATTTGACTGCTTATTGTATAAAGATATGGATTAATGTAATATGTTTTGAATTCATTTGACACATACTCTTGAAAAAATCAACGTACCTTTAACCTTTTGTGATCTCACAAGACCTGCAAAGAGAGAAAATAAAATAGGTGAAGAGCGAATATATGGTTGAGCTATCGAAGCACGAACGTGGGATGGTACAAGCATAACACAACAATAGTGACCCATTAGGATGGTACAAGTGCAGCGAGGTCGCTGTATGCATCATCACTATGTGAATCCTGGCTGGGGCAAAAGGTCCTCGAGGCAGCAGATGGCACCGGCAAACAATGATGGAATGCAATGGCTAATATATTACTTATCTGCGTGATGGGGGCCGGTCGCATGGGTTTGTCCGTAGAAACATCATCGGCTCCATTAACAATCAATCAGAGGAAGCAGGTGCCTGATGATGACTGGTTCACACCAAAATCTCCCTACAAAAATATTTCAAGTCAATTTTCACCGGATCCACTGATCAAGTTCTCATTCAATCTGAGATGTCAAAGTCAATTTACTAGATGTTTAATATTCATCTCTAAAAAATTTAATGCATAAGATTAAATCGACTTTCACTGTTTAACATTGATAAAAAGAAGTTGTATCTTTTTGGGCTACTGATCTCCTCAGAGTACATAGATACAACACTGCCCGAATACTTCCACGATACGTGGGGAGAGAGGGTGTTGCAGATGATAATAAAACAGAATGGCCAACTATGTCATTCAATACTGTAACTCAAAAAGTTGGAGCATTTGCACACGATAGAGAGAGAGAGAGAGAGAGGACGTCACATTATACACAAAGCTACAAAAAGTGCCCTACTACGTATAATTTAAAGGAATACACGTCTGAAACTAAGAAAATGTTATGGATATAACCTTGTCCTAGTAGGCGCTTACTTCAACCAAATAAAATAG